ATATAGTGAAGCTGGTGAGTGGATAGTACAGTCAGTACTGGATGGTAATGATCTCACTAGTAAGAACTATCAAGAAAAGTATCAATCGTACAGCAAGACCAGAACATGGTGGATGGATCAGCTAATAGAATATCCAACAAAGAGGGAAATGAAGCTTCAGAGATATATACAATCTTTACATGAAGACCTACAAGTGGCTCATCAGAGCAAAGTATCACTACAGGAGGCACTGCTTGAGGCCAAGGAACAAGGTACATGTATATAGGATACTATAGTATACACACACACACACACACTTTAACTGTACTAGCTGTTTACTATTATGTACTATTGTGTGGTTATTGGTAGTGACTGTGTGTATTACATTATCATGATACTAGTGGATTTACGCAAAGTTGAGTATGGAAATAATATCCTGTACTCAATATAGGTCGAATTATCAGGTCATATGCTCCACAAATAATGAAACTCATGTACTATCCTCTACTTATTGTGTCATTGGTAATAATCATAGTACATGTATTTATTGGCTACTGTTAATATAGTGCGAATTTTCACAAGCTATATACAAATGATGCTTGTGGACCCAGTTATTTGTGTGTATAATGTAATTATTTTGTTGTGTTATTATACATATTCTTCAGTTAAAGGTGATGATAGTGTTGATATTATGAGCAGTGCATTAAATGAGATGAGACAAGAACAGGAAAAGTTGATTAAAGAGAAACAGATTATTACTGGTTAGCATATCATCAGTACATTATGAGAGAATATTCTATTAATGTAGAAGATTTTGAGAAACTGAAACTCAAAGTTGCTGATATGGAGGAGAAGGAGGAACAATATCTCAAGAAAAAACAGATCATTATTGGTTAGTTAACTATACACACAGCATGTATTAGATGAGAGGTTATGTTTATTGTGTATAGATGATGTTCAAAATCTGAAGATTGATGTTTCTGAGAAAGACAAAGTTATAGCCAAATCGACATCACAAGCAGAGGACCAGTCACAGCTTGAGAAACAGATCATTACTGGTTAGTGTATGGTCATCAATCAATCAATAATAATTGTTAATATTCTATTAATTTATAGACCTTAGAGCTAAAGTGTCTGATAATGAATTGTATACAACCAAACTAATGAAGGAGAAGTCACAACTACAGGAGAGAGTCACATCCTTAGAGGAACAATCCATCAAAGGGACTAGTTCCATTGGACCACAATTTAATTACTTAGAGGAGGTGCAATTAAAAAAAAGTATGGTGTATGCTACTAAATAATTTATTATCATAATGCACTATAGAAATTTCAAAACAAGATGCTCCATTTTCAAGATTCTTAATCCTAATATATTTATTATTTGTTTCTTTTGTGTTGTCTGCAAATTACAACTCAAAGCAATTTATTGGTAAGATTTAAAACAATACAACAGTAAAATAATTATAATTATATGTATGATTTCTAGCTCCATTGCCAGGTGTGGAGATTATTGCTTCTACCAATCTATTAGTAGCTGGTGGTAGTCACATTCAGTTACACTGGGAGGAATATGGTCTTATACTTGATGTTCCACCTGATGCTCTTCCTCGTGGTTTTATAGCTGAAATTACTGTTTGTGTTAGTATTTCTGGTCCTTACGTTTATCCTGATTCAGATACATGGAAGCCAGCCAGTGCTGTGTATTGGATATCCAGTAGTAGAGATTTTGTTAATCCTGTCCTGTTAGGGATACAGCATAGTGTTAGAGGAAATGTAAAATCCTCAGAGATTAAAGTCCTGATGGCAGATGATATACCTACTCAGAATATGTCATTTGTGTTTCAGGATTATTCCAATTTCACTCTCAATGGTCCTTACGTTTATCTTTTATTAAATCACTTCAGTGGTATATCTGTTGCCTCAACTGCTGAACTTAGCTTTGAAGGGATTCTATTTAAATCTCAAAAGGCCAACTATGTTTGGGACTACAGCTTTGTTGTGTACAAAAGCCACACCAGATGCTATAAATGAGAAAGTAATCATTCATTTGTTTATAAATTCTTTATTAAATGTACAGCTGCTGGCTGAATAT